AAAATTATAAGTAATATTAGTAAAATTATTAGTAATTTTATATTTCTGATTTTTGTTTTAAGGATTCCGACTTTTACTAATGTGAACCATTTCAAGAAACAATCTTTTGGTTCTACAAATAGAATTTCAGTATTGTTATAGTACATAACGTGACCCTCCGAAGATTTGCCTAAATCTACAATATTCTTTTCATAATAAAGAAAGTCATTGAAATATCTCATTTTTTCAATCATCCACAATACCCATTCACTTATCATATTTAAGCTTAACCCATCATCACATCCCAATATTCCACATGTGTTTTTGTATAAGTGCGTAGTATAGTGTTTTCAAGTTTGTCGTAATCATTTTCCCCTCGGATCGAAATATCATCAAACTGTGAATATATATGGCGAACAGAAGTGGCCCAAATACTGAACCTTGTAGGACACAATATGTGACATTTCTTGCACTACTTCTTACTTCTTCAACTTCTACAACTTGTTTCCGAAAGATGATTCTTCAGTTTATGGTACGTGTGTTGTTCTCTTGTTTTACATTTTTGTCATATTTCCAACAGACGTTTACAAAATTCCATATCGGAAGTTCTCGATAGCTCATCTAATGCATCATTAATTTCAGTATTTCGTCCCTCTCTAAATCCAAATTGATTTCATACATGTAGAGTGATTGGTAGTATAGTAGCCTNGTTAGGGTAGATAAATTTGGATAACTTGAATTAAGATTGAATTTGGGTCAGTTCAATTAATATTTATTGAAAAGCTTAGGACGATATGAATTTTCTATTAGAATTCTTTTTGAAAATTGTAAATCATTTTTAACAAAATCCGGATGGGACAATCTGGTGACTCTCTTTAAGAGATAAAATTAAGTTGGTTTTAATCCTTGAAGGTTGCTGTGAAAAATAACTAATGAACCTATTGCTACATATAGATTTTCTGTGCCGCGTAGTCTCAAGAATGTTGCCTCAAACTTGATGACTTCCCAACTAGCAATTTCGTATTTTATAATAGTTGCGGAAACGTTTCGGAGAAACAAATTATAAAACTACATTTTTCCCAGAAATGTTTTCAATGTATTTATAAAACTGCTATAAATAGGAAATTGGCACCGTTTTATAAAACATTATAGTTATTATCGAAATTTTGTAAGGCCTTTTACAGACACTACAGAACAGTTTTATAAACATTTTGGCAGTTACTATAGAATTTGTCTAACACTCTTAAAAAGTAGTTTTGTAAAGACTTCATCGTAAAAGAAAAGGATTCTAAATGGAGTATTTTGTTGATGGCTCATGTTCATTCTTTAATCGTTCCAACTGTTATTTTTTTAGAGCTAAAGCAAAAGAATTGGCCAGGCTCGTATTCAGAACCAACATCTTGTTGATCGCAAATGCTATATCATACTTAGGAAAAATTTTTTATAATAACGGGTGAAATGCACGAATTTTGCAGTTTAACGGGAAAATGCAGATAATATGTGTAATATAAAAAGATTTTCATTGGATTTTTCACAGCGCACTCAAGCATTATATGAAAAGAAAAACCATAAATAATGAACGTAAAGTTGAAGTAAACTTCGAAAAGACCAAAGTTTACGATATTAAATCTACATCACTCTAAATCATAGTCAGAGACCAGTAATGATCGAGCCATTTCTTGGACTAATGTCTCAATAAATAATGCACATGAATTTAATCGGAAAATGGTACTCATTAAATCTAAGCATATATTTCTTCGCATTTAACATTCTCTATATTTCATAAACTTTGATGTCTCAAACTACTTAGTATTGATTACGATTGTCTTTACCTACAAGAATCAATTATGTCCACTGTAATTACCGTCCTCTGCATTATCCATAAATAAAAGAAAAAAGTATGTTTCTGCATTTGTGTTCATGCTCGTTTCAGTTAATATTGAATTGACAGTCTTTGACTGAAGCTTGATATATTTCATTGATTTGAGCAGGATTTGCTGTGACGGTAGTACAACAGCGTAAGTAATCATGAGATAAACGTTTTTTAATGTGCATTTCAGTTCATTCGAACTGAAAAATTTATTGAATCGTTAATAGTTCTTCGTTATATGAAACCATAGAAAAGAATAACTTTTGTTTCATAAATTTATTTTTACTGTTTTAACCTTTAACGATAGCATTTGGTAAGGTTTGGGTTTATAACAAAGGGGTTTTTGCTTCTTCTGTTTTAAAAAAAAATCTGTTTTAAAATCTGTTTTTCCGTTAATCAGCTGTCGCCCCCATACGAACGACAACTCTCAGAACTAGTAGTAGTAGTTGAGTACTTTATTAATCACTAAATTACATATATTTATAAAAGCATACAATATAAAAAATTGGTGATTGATATAGATATAAGGAAAGTTTTGTCAAAACGAGTCTTATTATCGATATTGATGATTCACTTAAGTTTTTGGAAAACTTGTCTGCGAAACATCAATATCGAATACTTTCCTTTGAAGATGGTCAAGATATATTGAGTTACTCGGCAAAAACATTTTAGTGCTTATTTTTGTAAATAGTATTAACACTGTCGATATTATTTTTTCCTAAAAAGTAGTGAATAATATTCTTAGTATACTAGAAAAAAGACACATTGAATATAAAATCTCTAAACGTGTACATAATGTAAAACATATAAAACGTAAAAATT